AAGGAAGCACTTTACTGCCTCTCTTTGACACAATCAATTCCAGCACCATTGACCTTGCACTTTGGGACCACTGTTAAGTAAAATAAGAGTCACTTGACCACAAGCACTGTGATATCTTGACCATCAATCTGAGAACGAAGACAGCTACCAAGTGACTAATGAACAGGTAGCACAAATGTGCTGCACAAAGGGATGACTCATGTAACAGGTGGGACAGCTTGAGATTTCATCATGATACTCAGAATGGCATGTAATTAAACACTCATGAATTGGTTGTTTCTGAAATTTTCCACTGAATATTTTCAGAGCAAGGTTGACCATAAGAATTGAAAACAGGGAAAGAAAAACTATGGATATAGGATTCATCTCTCTCCTTCTGCAATCCCATGGTGAATGGCCTGTGAGGTGTTTCAAGACTCCCTCTCCAGATGGGGCAGCTGATGTACAGAGAAGTTGTGCATCTCTTTGGAAGCCTCAGCTGGAGTGGCTGAACACTTTCTCTCTAGGGTCCTCTTCCTCTCCTTCTACACAGTGAAAACATGTCCATACATGTGTTTGTGGAAGTGTCTGCACAAAACTTTAGACTTAACTTTTTTTACATTTGTCATGGCTTCATAATCAGGGAATGAAATAAGAAAACTAAGGATGGTCAGCAGCAACAGAGAGAAGATTTTATGCAGGTACTGGTGCTGTGGAGGTTCCAGCTGATTTGATCCTTTGGACATTTTACACTTCTTGCTTATTTCATTTCCATCAGAGCAATGGGTGCTCCTGAGTGTAGTGCTTTTTTGGTACATGTTTGTAGTACAAAATGGATCCATTCATTGTGGGTAGTTGGTGCATGTACATAACACAGATTTCACCTGACTTCAGAAAGAATAGGTGTGGTGCTTTTGATTGTTGCACATGACCATTGTTCTCTGGTACACCTGGGTGGAGTGCATCTCCAGGCCTCTGTGCAGTTTGGAGGTCCCAATGATGACAATGCTGGTTGTTTGCTGGAGCAGAGCCTCCTGCCTGAGCTGCTCTAGCCTGTTTCCTCTCTTGACTAGAACTTATTCTCTCTAGCTGAGGCTTTGCTTTCCCTGTATTCATCATACAATATGAATGAAACTGTCAGTGCACACTAGGACATTGCATGGTAACATAAAATAGAAGAAGTTCTAGCAAATCTAGCTCCTGCCACCATCTGGCCCTGAGCACTAGGAAGGGGTTGAAGTGGGAAGCCCCCTTCACACCATGTGGCAATATGGCAGGGTATGGTAGAAATGGCTTACCACACATTGGCCTGATCTGAGGCATCTAATTTAATTCTAGCGCCATCGACTTGCATCCTGAGGGCTCGGCATGGTCCCTGCCACACTTGGAGGTGGCCTCTGTCTTCTCTTGTGGGTAGAGGGCTGAACTGTCCCTGGCAGGGAAGGCCAGGTTGTACTGCTCTGGCTGTGCCCCACTGCTGAAGGATATCCATCAACCCTCCTCTGCTCTCTGCCAGGTGCTCAGGCTACAGGTGGTGCTCAAAAATGGACATTCAGAGTGTTCTTGAGTGGGTGCGAGGCAGAAAGGGAGACTGAACAATGTCTTTAGATGTTTCATTTTGATTAAAGCATTAAAGTGCATGGTAGTACCTCATGGAAATTGTAAATCTTTACTGGAGGAAAATGAGAAAATATTAACAGTGTGATATAATGACTTGGTGTTTCAGCTGTTTGCAATGCCTACTTGATTTTACATGAAGACTATGTTGTCACTCCCAAATTAATTTTTGGAAAATGAGTTACTGACTGCAGATATAATTTATTACTAATAAGGAAAATATGTCTGTAACCTGAACCTGATGGTGTGTAGTTAGCAAAGTAGGAAGATGGAATAACAAGTTGGTGAAGAGCAAAGGAGGAGGTGGCAGAGGGGAGGAAGAGAAGCCTAGGTCCACTGGGACAGGCCTGATGGACACTTTCTGCCATATCCTGTGATCCTGTACGGCACTAGGCAACAATGTATTCTTAAGCATCTCGAGTTGTGCAGTCTGGCGATTAAATAACTTGGCAAAGCCATGCCAGTGTTCAAGTATGGCCCAGTGGTGCTTTCCTTGGATGGTATCCCCTTCCCTTATTCCCCTTGATGTTGAGTATGAGCCCTGGTCATTTGGATATTTCCCTGCTGGGTGTTCTGGAGAGGGGACACGGCCAAGGCTGGCTCTGGTGCTAGCGGGATAAAAGTGAGGAGAGTTGTGTGAGGGGTAGGGGTGGGAGGAGTAACCAGGAGTCCCAGCTTGGTCTGTGGCTCGCACTACCTTAAATTTGCACAAGCCCAGGGGAAGGCTCATCCCCTCGCCAGCCAGTCTCCTTGTCTGTGGAACGGGCACAAGAGCCGCTCCCATTGTTCTTGCAGTTACGTTAGTGGTAGAAGAGAAATGCTGGGAAGTCTGCAATGTTATACTGAATTCCATGTCCGGCCTTTTCTTTCCTCTAGGTTATCTCATTACTATTCTTTGTGCAGGAAAAAAGGGCCTTTTTTGGTGTTAACTAGGAAAAGTATTCTCTAGATTTTTAGTCCTCACTTCACTTCTGTTGCTATGAAGACCAGCCTGGTGAAATTGCAGTGGCTTCACAATGCAGCCTAATCAATGAACACTGTGTTTCTAGGCATAAAATATATTTATAAACTTGCTATTTGGGGTGTTGCAGCATTAAAATTCTGATCTATGTACCAGTGATATTTTGGAGGCATTTATATTTGAAAATTAATATTAAGAACATAAAGATGCCTATAAGCTTAAAATTATTTAAATAATTAAATGTATTTAGATAATTATAAAATGGTTTATTTCACAACTTATTTTAATGGTTACTTAAATAATTATAAAATATAATTATTGCCCAGCTGTGATATAGTGTTTGTCACTGTGGTGGGGAGACACATAAGGGCATTTAGCCACTAGATCCTATAGAATGAGAATTAGAATGCTTATTCAGAAAAGGCTGGCAGGGCTCACAAATGGTAATGGCTACATATTTTATATTTATAAGTACATTTATCTAGAACATTTACATTTGTAATAACAGAATTATTTTAGTAGTCAGGCCATGTGCATATAAAGCTATCTGTTCATTAAAGTTCTAATAGTGATTCTCTAATGCTTTTAAAACAAAACTCTTATTTTAAATCATAATTACAATATGCAAGTATCCACTTTCTTCTTAGCGTTAACTAGAAATCATCAGTTAACTTAGTTCACATTTCTATTTAAATAGTTTATGATTTTCCAGAATTGTGCTTCTTAAAGCCAAGCTCAGAAAAGATGTTTCACCATGAGAAAAACCATGGCTTAATCTCTTCCCTAGAAAAGGCAGGCAGAGCATTAGTACATTAGTTGTTCTGTAATTTGGCTCCAACGATGGGAGTTTCTGCTAAATTACAGACAAGAAGAGACCCCCGAGGACATGGAAGAGGTTGCAACTTTATGGCAGCGCTGGGCCCCACAGCAGTATCATGCAAGGTGGGCTGTGTCACGTCCCCACATGGAGCTCAGTGGGCTTGTTGTAGCCCAGCTGAGGAAGGCCAGGCTGTAGAGCTCCACAGTGGCATTGTCATAGCCAATGATGAGAGATGACGGGCACTGTCATAGTTGGAGGGAGAGTGAGCTTTTCTAATTGAGGTAATTGGGCACCCCTATGAGAGGAGGGTTTTGATCATGAAGGAAGGACCTGAATTGGGCATCAGCAGTGGTGAGAAGTGACTAATGAAGGTCTTACTGATTGATTCTGTCCTCTCTTGGTCTTCAGGGTACCTCGAGGGCTAAGCAGGCTAGCCCATCTGTGATTCAGCTGGTCTCTAGGGTGCCTGGGTGGCTTAGTGTGGGTGGCCATCTGCAGTAGCAGGGTTCGGTCACCTTTACCAGACTCCTAGCCCCACTCATCTCTGAACCCTGCCACCCAAAACTTTCTGGGCCTGTGGTTTTTCTGTTCTGGATGTAGATATGACCCCTACTGATGCCAGACCATCTTTCGTCTCTCCACAGATAGCTACTCTCTGAAAAACCACTGAAGTGGAGGCTAAATTTCTTGACTTTTCAAAGTTGGCCAGGTCAAGGCCCACACTATGCTTGGAACAGGCAGGTACTACATGGACCACAGGATGTGAGCTGCTAATGAGGATGAGGGGTCACTTTCTCAGTCTCCATGGCCCTTTAGGCTACTGGAGAGAACTTCTTCCATTTTGGGTTTTTGTTCCATAAACATTTCTGAACCTGACGTGATTGTTTCATGTAAGCCAGTTGGATTTAGGGGATAGCAAGGGAATAGCAGGTTGCTGATACAGGAAAAGCTACAGAGAGAAGCCAGAAGTCCAACTTCAGGGGAACCTCTGTCTTTATGTTGGAGACATGGGTAACCAGCAAATAGTGTACTTGAACTCCGCCCCACTGTTCCCCCAGTACCCACTCCCCAGGGTCTCCCTCCTGCACAGCCTCCAGGAAGCATAGCCTTAGCCATCAGGAGTCTGAATGTCTGTGGCCCCAGCCCGGGAACACTCGGAGGAGAGAAAACCACAAAAAGTGGTCATCTCAGCACAAACAGGGCTTCAGTAGGGCTACTGAGAAGGAATTTTTAAAATAAATGTTCATTGTGTTAAAGAGTTACCTAGTATGAGATACAGGCTGGAATGAGGCAATTCCACAGAGAAATCATCGTGGGAATAATTCACATTTAATGTAGTTTCATGGAAGATGCTGTTTCCAGAATCTAACTTTCTCTCCCTTTTTCTCTCCCTTTTTGATTTTATTGCCATTTTTTGACATTAAGAGAAATTGAAAACCTGTTTAGATTTCATAGCTTCACATTTCAGAAGTAAGTGACATAGCTAATAGCCAGGATGTGTCTGATTTGTGCTTCACAATGAGACCTTTGCTTCGCTTTTTAATTATGTGGCATTCCACAAAGGAGAAGTGTTGGGATAAAAGAATAAATTGCTAAGATTAACATTTTCTTTCCTTTTTTAAGGGTACCACTTATCAGTCACAAAAAGCAATAAAACCAGATGTGATGAAATTGGATTGAGAAAAAGAATGGGTTTGATTTTATGAAATGGGCCACTTGGTCTGACTTGGCTGGATTCTCAGAGCAGCTCAGAAAGAGCAAGGGAACAACATGGAAGAGGAGAACCTGGGGGTGTTAGACCCAGAGATGGAAGCCTGAGACCTGATTCTGGGCCACAGTTAGGGCTGAGCCCTTTGCCTTGCAGAGAACCCTGGACTTTAGGCCGAAAGAGCACTAGATTTGAAGCTGGTGATGATGCGAGCCTTCATGGACAATGTCTTTCTTATTCACTGATAAAATAAGAGCTGGATGAGATGGTCCTCATGTTTCTTTTTAGTATGAAGGGTGAGAAAATGTTATACATTTGCATATCATAGTATATTCTTTGGTAGTCGGTCTCTTGTTCAAACTCCTTAATGGTTTCAACTTGTCCCAACTTGGCAACAGGAACCTTACTTTCTATCTGCTTCGAAATCTATTTTACAAGGATCTTAGGTTGGATAAAGTCCCCTCCAAATTTACTCAACCCAAAACCTCAGAATGATACTTTATTTGGAAATAGATTCTTCGCACATATAATTAGTTAAGAATTCTGAGATGAGATCATCTTGGATTTTGGGTATACCCTAAATGCAAGGTCTGGGGTCTCTATAAGAAGAGAGTAGCCAAGTATGGTGATACACTCCTGTAATCTCAGTACTCTGGGGAACTGAGGCAGGAGGATCTTGAGTTTGAGCCCAGGCTGGGTAACTTAGAGACTTAGAAAGACCTTGTCTCAAAACAAAAGAAAACTAAATAAATAAAAAGAAGAGGGCTGGGGATGTAGATCAGTGCCAAGGTCCTGGGTTCAATCCCAGTGGAGAGGGAAGGGAGGAAGGGAAGGAAAGAAGGAAGGAAGGAAGGAAGGAGGGAAGGAAGGAGAAAGAAAAAGAGAGAAAGAGGAAAGGAGGGAGGGAGGTGAGGAGAGGGCACAGACGTGGGAACTAAGATTGTGTCATGATGGAGGCAGAGGTTAGAGTGGTGAAGTCAGGAGCCAAGGATCCCCAGGAGCCATCAAGAGCTGGAAGATGTGGAAAGAATCCTCCATGAGCCTTCGAAAGGAGGGCCACCTTGCCCACACCTTGATGCCAGGCTTCTAGTCTCTAGAACCATGAGGAAATATGTTTCTGTTATTTTAAGGAAAAAAGTTTGTGATAATTTGTTCTGGAATCTCCAGGAAACAAATACAAACAGCAACATGAATTATTTGGAAAAGCTGGAGTAAAGTCTGGCATGCAGCATACAGCACAGGGCAACACAATAAGCCTCCAACTCCTGCATACCTTTCAGCCCTCCCCCAGCACTTACCCAGAAGGACCTGCCCTGTCCATAGGACCATAGAACTGGCTTCTTCTTGCGAGCCCTGGGGGTGGGCTATAGAGGGGTGGATGGAAAGAGTCCCCTGCAAGGGAGGACTGCCCCTTAAAGGAATTTGCTGCCTAAAAAACAAATTTACCCATAGGCTCACTGATCAGAGAAAGAACCTTACACAAATATCCTTAGATTCAACTGCACATGCATTTTGGGTATCTGAACTGGGCAGCCCCACCTGGAGCTGCTGATGGCCACTTCAGCAGCTCTGCTGGGCAGTGTGGATTAGGTAGCCCTGATGGAGCACCTTCCATTAGAAGGGGCCTTGACAGGTGCTTTTGAGCCCTGGGGGAACATTGACCATCTCACTCCCATTTCCCAGTGTGCAGGTTCAGGCTGAGAAGCAAGTGGCTTACCTGCTAGCATTGACTCAGGGTCAAGATCAGTGTTCTTCCCTGGACCCCTGGCCACCCCATTCACTTCCTCAATCCAGAACATACTGGGTTGACAGAAAAGAATAAGGTTTTCATACTAACTACCCTCCCCCAGTCTGGACCCCACAGGCTCTCCCCACAGTGAAAGGGTCTGTGCACTCTGTAACTGGTGCTTCTTGTATAGTTAGGGTCTAAACAGCAACTGCAGAAACAGCTGAAAGGGGAAAATGACATCAAAAGGGATAAAACTTAACAGAACTTAGAAACAAAAAGAATTAACCTGTTTTATGCACATGTACCAACTTCCCTCAATTAATATAATCATTTACTGCAAAGATGTACTAATATAATTTTTAAAAAAGAACAGAACTATGGTTAGGTAAGACATCCTTAGCTGCATGTGTGGAGCAGACAGATGAACAAACATCATTAAAACAATTTCATTTATCTCTGGGATGCACTGGAATGGACCCTTTGTGGGCAAACAACTCAATTAATATGACATGATTGACAGCAACAATTGTAATGAACCATCTTTGTGGGGAATCATATTCCTCAAAAGAGCCCTCATTCTCCTTAAAGCAAACAGTTGGAATACCACCACTAATGCCCAGGATCCTCAACCTGGATGCACAAAGGGACCCCCTGGGAATCTAATGGGTGAGCAGAACAGAGTTACTTGAGGTGCGGAGATCTGGACCCAGAGGAGTTGTGGACCACTCCACAGGTGGAACTGGCCATACCAGCCCCCTCCTGGTTCACGGCCCATTGTGCTATTGTTTGCCCAGTGAGCCACACCTCTCCTAGCTGTCCATTTGTGATTTATCACCTTCCTCTCCCTCAGTTTGTAGAGCTGTGATTGGAAATTGAATGCAGAGAGAGCAACCACATTCTCCTTCCTGCCTGAGTCCATGGTGATCCGAGTTGAGCACAGGGGTGTGTCAGCTCCCTGACTTAGCACCCAGCAAGGGGACTTCCCTCGTCCACCTCGCTGCAGTGCAAGGACGCCAGGGCTGGAGGAGCACCCAAAAGGATGTAAAATTTTCCCTCAGTCATTGTGGCTGACAACTCTGCAAGGTCTCCAAACTTGAGTGATTGAATGCAATCAGAATGTTTTCATGGCAGAAGTTAACACATGGTTAATAGGTGCTTTTCCTTCAAAGAGAAACATCTACACGTGCTTGCAATCAACATGGATACTCTAGCAGAAATGGTTTTGTCTCATGATAAAAGAGCCTTTTCAGGGAACTTCTCCATCATCAACCTCATTAACCACCCATCCTTCACTGAAACGAGCTGGGAAGAAGCCGTGAGCCAGTGAGTGGCACTGCAGAAGCATACTGAAAGTCATAAAGTAGGCCATTTGCCACACAGCTGCAGAGGAAATGGACTGAGTACAGCTAGAGGGAGGACTCCCACGAGGCTTAAACACCATTCAGCAGGGCAGTTACTCCCTCTCTAGAAGGCTCCACTGCAGTCTCTCAACATTCCTCCAGGCAGCAGGAAGATCTGAAGTTTGAGGCCAGCCTGGGCAACTTAGTGAGACCCTGTGTCAAATAAAACAGTAAAAAATTTCTGGGGGCATAGCTCAGTGGCAGAGTGCTTGCCTAACATGTGAAGCCAGGGATTCCATCTCCAGCACTGCAGAAAAAGAAAAACAGCAAATCAAAACAAAACAAAAAAGTCTACGGTCGCTGAGGTTTGAATCTACAAGTGGAATTCCTGGCTGTTATGGGACAAGTCAAGCGGTCCAGAACCAGTGTGGCATTTGACCTCTTGCCCCTTAATCAGTGAGCCAGAATGAACCCCTTCACCCCAGAACTTCCACATAGGAAAGCATTTGGTTAACATAAATCACAAAGCAACATAAAACCGAGGTATATGTTTCTGTAGAGATTTAATTATTTAAATGCTTATTTTTCTAATTAAGGTATAAAAACTGAACATGTTCTACTTTAGAAATGGAGGCAATTTAGAAGCACATGGAATTTGCAGCTTCCCTTCTCACAGAGGGAACTTGTAGCTATGTAGTGTCATCAACACACTATGTGCATACTCATGACAGTGTGGATTTTTAAACTTGAAGTTGTGCACCACACATTTCAGCTTGGTGACTTTTTTACTTAGCAGTGTAACCAGAAGAGCAAAACATGGTGATATACAAAGTTTCCAGTCTTGCCTGTTCTACTTTGGCCCAGTATGGCCCAGTGTGGGCACATACTTGCTTTATTTGTGCTTGAAATGCTAGGCTGTTTCTAATGTAGGTTGTCATAAGGTGTTCCTATGGAGTCTTGCATGCCTTTTTCTGCAGCCAGTAGTGTCTTTCATACCTGGTGAGAATGTGACATAGGACAATGTTCTGGGAAGAAATAGGTTAATATAATTCATGACTGTATCATTTAACCCAAAAGTTCAAGCCATGAACTCTATTCTAGCAATAATCATCAGATTCATTATCTTGCCAGTTCTCCACTAAACCTGGGGTAGACCAGCTGTGTCCTAACCCTACCCAACAAAGCCCTGGGATGTGGGCCTCTTACTGCTTTATTTGATCTGCTCTTTCCTCATTGTTAAGGAGGATTGACAGGTATACTGTTAGCACACCTGTATTCTGAACATGGAGTGAGATAAAGAGGTGACAGGATTTAGCAAATTGATAGCAGATTCTAGACATCAATAGTGACTGTATATTTAGAAGATAATTTCAGGCTCACAGAGAATTATGCATAAGAATATCCTATACAATGTACTTTAAAACAGGGAAACTAAGAATGAGAAAAGTCAGGAGCAGGGACTGAGTGAACTGAAGTCTGTTTTTGTAGAAGCATTAGGGCAGCTATTAAAGCCCTACTTACAGGGCCAGGGATGTAGCTTAGTGGTGCCATGCCTGTCTGGCAAGCACAAGGTCCTGAGTTCAATCCCTGGTACTGGGAGGGGAAACAAAAGCCCTGTCTACAAAGAGCTTTGGAAAGCATGGAAGACATTAAGTGAAACAAACAATCCTAATTTTCAGCTATGGGTTAATAGCACAAATGAGACTGGAGCCCTGGGATTCCTCTATTTACATTTTTCGACTCCTGCCACTGTCCTTCCATGATCCTGTACAATGGGCAAGGGTCTTCCACAGCACAGTCAAGGCTACCATCTGTTTCTATTTGACCCCCTCAGTGGCTGTTCCCATCCTGCCAATGGGTGCTGTGTTTGTGGGCATAGAAAAATCTTTCCAAGGCATATGAGTTGGGGGTCATTTAGTTTGGGTTCAGTGGGGATTTTTGTGTGACTTATTGTCACTTTCCAGTAAGGTAGAGCTAGCCATGTTAGAGTGGGCATGACTCATGCCAGGTCATGATCTGAAGGTACTGGACCAGAATACAACCTATAGTACCTGACCCTGGGGGAGGAGTGCTGGGCCAGGGGGAACCAGGTGTGAAGTGTGTGGAGTTGGAAGCTGGTCTGTAGGAATTTCTTCCCATCATTGACATG